TTTTTTTTTTTTTTGGTTGCAGCCATCATTGTTGTTTGGCAGGCCCAGGCTAGATTTGAACCCGCCACTTTAGGTGTACGTGGCTGGTGCCTTAGCCATTTGAGCTACAGGCGCTGAGCCAATGTTTTTAAAACTGCTTCTAGAAATCTATCTAAAATTTATCTTTTTGGGGTAGGGGTAGTCAGAGTCTTACTTTGTCGCCCTCAGTAGAGTGCTGCAGCATCATAGCTCATAACAACCTCAAACTCTTGGACTTAAGTGATTATCTTGCTGCAGCCTCCTGAGTAGCTGGGACTAGAGGTGCCTGACACAATGCCCAGCTGTTTTTAGAGATGGGGTCTCATTCTGGCTCAGGCTGATCTGAGCTCAGATGATCCACCCACGTTGGCCTCCCAGAGTACTGGGATTACAGGCATGAGCCACTGTGCCTGGCCTTGAAATTTATCATTTTTAATCTGATTGAGTCCACAGAATGTTCCATATCTATTACATCATTAAAAGCACACTTACATGCCCCGCTTAGAGGCATGGATGACCCCAGGGACACTGAGTGCTGAAGGGGTCCTTCCCTTATAATCCACAGCCACGCCAGTTGGCTGCTTGGACTTTATTAGAGCCCTTCCGCTGTCTTCCTGTTTTAATCCTTTTAGAAAGCTACAAAAAGCTGCTCTCTCTATAGTTTAAGGCGTCTGTGCTCTCCTTATAGTTTAAGGTGGCCTGAAGACCAGACAGCCATGATGCTAGAACTTCTGAAAAGAGGACATATTACCTGAGAGATGGTCAGTGATTTCCACTGCAGAACAGTGCGTATATGACACAGTGCAGCAATTTGAAGTAACTACCAGTCTACGGTGGGCAGCGGGGCAGGTGCTCACAGCTGGACCATGGAGCAAAATGCCTGGATCCAACTTGCGGCTCTGCTGATTAGCTGTGGGACCTCAGAACAGTTACTCAGCTCTCTCTCAGTTTCCTCATCAGTAAAAGTAGAGGTAAGAACAGTATCAACCTAATAAAGTTATAAGGATTAAATAATGAACACTGACAAGGTGCTTTGAATGGTACCTGGAACAGTATAAGGGCTTTTAAATACGAGATAAATGGACACTGTCATGCAGGGGCAAGGTGGCACCACAGTCCCAGTTACTAGGGAGGCTGAGGGAGGAGGATCATTTGAGCTCAGAAATCAGAGAACTCTGACTGAGCCACTGCACTTCGGTCTGGGTGAGAGGGTGAGACCCTGTCTTAAAAACAAAAAAGACATTCCTACTGACTGTGCTCTAGGAGTTAAAACTGTGGGAAGCAGAAGTTCCTGACAAATAAAGTGTTATGGATTAAATGATTGTGTCCCACCAAAGTTCATTGAAATCCTAATCTCCCTTGTGGTAATACTGGGATAAAACCTTGGACGGGGCAGTGGTGGTGACTAGGTACAGGGCAGAGCCCTCAAAAACATCAGTGCTCTTACAAGAAACACACGAGAGAGCTTGCTTCTCCTCCCGCTCCTTGCCAAGTGAGGACACAGCAAGATTGTCACCTCCAAACCAGGAAAAAGGCCTTCACCAGGAGCCCAACCATGCTGGGACCTGATCTCAGACTCCCAGATGTGGAAACTGCGAGCAGTAACTGTCTACTATTTCAGTCTTTACACCCCGTCCCTGGTATTTTTGTTACAGCACTCTGAACTAAGACGTAGGGAAATTATCTAACTTAAAATGTCACTAGGATGGCCTCTGTGGCTAGGACCACCGGCCCCACAGACCGAGGGTGGCAGCTTTGAACCTGGCCCCGGCCAAACCACAACAAAAAAATAGCTGGGTATTGTGGCGGGTGCCTATAGTCCCAGCCACTCGGGAGGCTGAGGCAAGAGAATCACCTAAGCCCAAGAGCTGGAGGTTTGCTGTGAGCTGCGTGATGCCCAGGCACTACCAAGGGCAATAATGTGAGACTCTAATCCACGGGGGGAAAAAAGGTATCAACACACAAGAACGTATATATAAGGATGTTTTATCACTATCACAACATAGTACATTATGCTCAAAAACTGGGGGAAAAAAATCGAATACCCAAGAGGGACTATTATACAGACACCAAAAAAAACGATTTGAAGAGATTTTCATGAGATATTGTTAAGTGAGAAAAGCA